AAAAATGGGGAAAATTGAGGAAATTGGAACTTGGGAATGGGGGAAATGGGAATGGGGGAAATGGGAATTTGGGAATGAGGGAAATGGGAATTTGGGAATGCAAGATAGGGAATGACGAAAGGGGGAAATGGGGACAGGGTGGGGGGACACCGTGGGGACACGTAGGGGAGGGGGACACCACGGAAGCCCAGGAGACACCACAGGGACACCACGGGGTGTGGGGACACCTTGGAGACCCAGGGGACACCAGGGGGACACCGTGGGGACACCGTGGGGCCCAGGGGACACCTCGGGGGCACACAGGGACGTACCAGAGCGTGTGGGGACCCGCAGGACGTGGGGGTCCCCCTGTGACACACGGGGGGACGGGAGCCACCGTCGGGGTACAGGGGCCACTGCGGGGACACGCGGGAGTGGGGACACCACGGGGACACCGCGGGGACATCGCGGGGACACCGCGGGGACACCGCGGGGACACCGCGGGGACACCGTGGGGACACCGTGGGGACATCGTGGGGACACATGGGAGTGGGGACACCGTGGGGACACCCTTGGGTGGCAGGGGACACCATGGGGACACGCGGGAGTGGGGACAGCGCGGGGACACCGTGGGGACACCGTGGGGACACCGTGGGGACATTGTGGGGACACACGGGAGTGGGGACAGCGTTGGGAGGGGCAGGGAGGTGCCAGGGGACAACACGGGGACACTGTGAGGGGCCCAGGGCCCACCAGGGACCACACTGGGGACACCATGGGGACACCCAAGGGACACCTTAGGGACACCAAGGAGTGGTGGCCACCACAAGGGGGTCAAGGACCACCAGGGAGACACTAGGGGACATCACGGGGACACCCCGGGGACACACAGGGTATGGAGGCCCCAGGGGCCATCAAGGAGCACCCTGGGGACACCACGGGGACACACAGGGGCCACCAAGGGACACCAGGGGACACGATGGGGACACACAGGGGCCACCAAGGGACACCAGGGGACACGATGGGGACACACAGGGGCCACCACCTGGGGGTCACTCTGGGGTCACTCTGGGTGGTTTGGGGCCGGGGTCACAGCCAGGGGTCAGGGGTCACTCAGAGTGTCTGGGTGGGGGTCACAGGGGTCACTTGAGGTCACTCTGGGGGTCCCAAAGGTCACCCCGGGGTCATTTGAGGTCACTCAGTGCTGGGGGTCAAGGGTCAGGGGTCATTCAGAGAAGAGGGTCAGGGTTTGGGGGTCACTCTGGGGGTCACCCAGGGGTCACTCTGGGGTCACCCGGGGGTCACTCAGGGGTCATCCAGGGGTCACCCAGGGGTCACGCGGGGGTCACTCACGGCCTCCTGCAGGCAGAGGCGCCGCAGCTCCCGCAGGCGCAGCCCCAGAGCCTGGCGCAGCCCCCGCTGCCGCTCCCGCAGCTCCTGCAGCCGCGACGGCACCGCTGCGGGGACAGGACAGTGACAGTGACAGCAGGGACAGGGTGAGTGACAGCAGGGACAGGGACAGGGACAGCAGGGACAGGGTGAGTGACAGCAGGGACAGGGACAGGGACAGCAGGGACAGGGACAGGGACAGGGTTAGTGACACCAGGGACAGGGACAGGGACAGTTCCCGCAGCTCCTGCAGCCGGGATGGCACCGCTGCGGGACAGGGACAGGGACAGGGACAGGGACAGGGACAGGGACAGGGACAGGGACAGGGACAGGGACAGGGACAGGGACAGGGACAGGGACAGGGACAGGGACAGGGACAGGGACAGGGACAGGGACAGGGACAGGGACAGGGACAGGGACAGGGACAGGGACAGGGACAGGGACAGGGACAGGGACAGGGACAGGGACAGGGACAGGGACAGGGACAGGGACAGGGACAGGGACAGGGACAGGGACAGGGACAGGGACAGGGACAGGGACAGGGACAGGGACAGGGACAGGGACAGGGACAGGGACAGGGACAGGGACAGGGACAGGGACAGGGACAGGGACAGGGACAGGGACAGGGACAGGGACAGGGACAGGGACAGGGACAGGGACAGGGACAGGGACAGGGACAGGGACAGGGACAGGGACAGGGACAGGGACAGGGACAGGGACAGGGACAGGGACAGGGACAGGGACAGGGACAGGGTTAGTGACAGCAGGGACAGATGAGCTCCAGGTAAGGGGACACAGCAGGGATGGGGACAGTGGGGACAAGAACAGACACAGGGACAAGGGCACGGGACAAGACAGGGACACAGGGCAGGGACACAGAACAGGGCGGGGACACGTGAGGCTCAGGTGACAGAGCAGGGCAGGGACAGAGCTTGGGGACAGTGGGTGCCACCAGGGCTCCAAAACTGGGGCAGAATTCGGGGGGTCCTGAGGGGTTTGGGGACACCGTGGGGCAGCGGTGACACCGGGGAGGTCCCAGAGCAACAGGACAGGGACAGGGACGAGGGTTGGGGACACCGAGGGACACCAGGGCTTGGGGACAGCGGGGGACACCAGGGCTCCAGAACTGGGGCAGAGCTTGGGGGGTCCCGGGGACTCCCGAGGTGACAGCAGGGGTGACATCAGGGGGTCCCCAGAGCACCAGGACAGGGACAGGCGACAGGGCTGGGGACACCAGAGGCCACCAAGGGTTGGGGACATGGGGGACACCAGAATTCGGGGGTCCTGGAGGGTCCCAGGGGGTCCTGGGGTGACACTGGGGGTGACACCAGGGTGTCCCCCAGTGCCAGGACAGGCATTGAGAACCAGGGACAGATGAGCTCCAGGTAAGGGGACACAGCAGGGATGGGGACAGTGGGGACAAGAACAGACACAGGGACAAGGGCACGGGACAAGACAGGGACACAGGGCATGGACACAGAACAGGGCGGGGACACGTGAGGCTCAGGTGACAGAGCACGGCAGGGACAGAGCTTGGGGACAGCGGGTGCCACCAGCGCTCCAGAACTGGGGCAGAATTCGGGGGGTCCTGAGGGGTTTGGGGACACCGTGGGGCAGCGGTGACACCGGGGAGGTCCCAGAGCAACAGGACAGGGACACAGGACAGGGGTTGGGGACAGTGGGGGACACCAGGGCTCCAGAACTGGGGCAGAGCTTGGGGGGTCCCGGGGACTCCCGAGGTGACAGCAGGGGTGACATCAGGGGGTCCCCAGAGCACCAGGACAGGGACAGGCGACAGGGCTGGGGACACCAGAGGCCACCAAGGGTTGGGGACATGGGGGACACCAGAATCTGGGGGTCCTGGAGGGTCCCGGGGGGTCCTGGGGTGACACTGGGGGTGACACCAGGGTGTCCCCCAGTGCCAGGACAGGCATTGAGAACAGAGCCTGGGGACACCAGAGGCCACCAGGGGTTGGGGACATCGGGGGACACCAGGGCTCCAAAACCGGGGCAGAATCTGGGGGGTCCTGAGGGGTCCCAGGGGGTCCTGAGGGGGGTGACACCAGGGGTGACACCAGGGGTGACACCAGGAGCGTTCCCAAACACCAGAACCAGGGGACAGAGCCTGGGGACACCGGGGGACACCAGGGCTTGGGGACACCAGAGTTTGGGGGTTCCTGGGGAGTTTTGGGGGGTCCTGGGGGTGACACTGGGGGTGTCCCCAAGCACGGGGTGGGGGAGAAGGGACAGGGGACACCGAGAGCCACCAGGGGTTGGGGACAACTGGGGACACCAGAATTTGGGGGGTCCTGGGGGGTTCTGGAGGGTTTTTGGGGGGTGTCCCAGGGGTGACACCGGCGGTGTCCCCAAGTGCCAGGACAGGGACAGGGCCAGGGGACATGGGGGACACCAGAGTTTGGGGGTTCCTGGGGGGTTCCTGGGGGTCCCGGGGGTGACAGCGGGGGTGACAGCAGGGGTGTCCCCAAGCACAGGGGAGGGGACAGGGACAGGGACAGGGATGGGACAGGGACAGGGACAGGGATGGGGACAGGGACAGGGATGGGGACAGGGACAGGGATGGGGACAGGGACAGGGGACAGGGTCGCGGTACCTGCGGGGCTGTAGGTGCCGGGGGGCAGGATGTGACCCCTCACCTCCATCGCCGGCCCATGGGGGAGCGGGGGCGCCTGGGGGCACAGAGGGGCTGGGTCAGGGATGGGATAGGGGATGGGGTTTGGGGTCGGGAATGGGGTCAGGGATGGGGTCAGGGGTCAGAACCCAGGATTTGGGGTCAGGGACTGGCACAGGGGATGGGATTTGGGGTCAGAACCCAGGATTTGTGGTCAGGGATTGGGGTCAGGATTTGGGGTCGAAACCTGGGATTTGGAGTCAGGAATTTGGAGTCAGAACCAGGGATTTGGGGTCAAGGATTTAGGGTCAGGGATTGGGGTCAGGGACTGGGGTCAGGGCCCAGGATTTGGGGTCAGGGATGGGATTGGGGTCAGGGATGGGGATTTGGGGTCAGAACCCGGGAATTGGGGTCAGGGATTTGGGGCCAGGGATTTGGGGTCAGGGATTTGGGGTCAGAACCCAGGATTTGGGGTCAGGGATTTGGGGTCAGAACCCAGGATTTGGGGTCAGGGATGGGGTCAGGGCCGGGATTTGGGGTCACTTTTGGGGTGTCCCCGCCCCGGCCCCTCCCCCC